AAGGCGTTATATATATATATATAAATTATAGTAAAATTAATAATTTGTGAAGCAATTCTAAAGTAAATTATATAATATTCTTAGATATTTTTTCCTTATTAAAAACCAAAAAAGAACAGATATTTTGCACTTTATAGTTCTTTTATGGAGACGTGACATTCATATTTATGGAACCTTTTATTATTGATTTTGAGGTCACATTATATAGCATAAATGCTGTTCCTTTTAGTTTAAATATTGGGCTATATATCTGATGACTGTTTTAAGAATTTATAACCCTATTTACATTTTTTATTTATTGTGCTTATAGATATGTAACATGTTGGTTAAGAGAAGATGTGGCCCGACAGGGTCGCCATAAGCCTGTTGGTCATGGGCGGGCTCGGTCCGTCCTGAACCACATTGATTTAGTCAATGCACGATTCGGCCAAAACTGGCCCACCTACTAAACACTCAACTCGAACAAAAATCCAGAAATAAAATTTATCAACTTGTGGTCCGTCCAATTCACAAGTTCGCATATCTTGAGATTCGGCTCGCCTCTCCTTCCCTAACAAGTTCGGTTCGTATCTCCTCGCCCTCTCCTCCCCAGTCGGGGGCTTGCCCTCTGCATATTTCCGGTGCTACCACAAGCTAACATTTTTTCTTAGAATGAAACTTTCTTACTCAGTGCAAGCTACTTGCAAATTTTATAGGAGGGATTTGGCAGGATGGCTCGATCTACTTGCCTATTTTCTATTTTGTGGGGAACCATTGATGAAAGGCTGATCAAGAATTCAAGATGCATAGATTCCTTGGTTAATATCTTATAAATTGGGTGTATTATCTAGCTGCGTTGGATTTGAAAAGAGAATTATACGATGATGATAAAACAAGCTGATGACTCTGAAAGCTCGCTAAAAAAACGAAACAGGGGGGTCGGAGTTGGGAGCTTTAGGAGTATGGAAAATGTCACCATCTTTGAAGGTGCAGTGTTAGACCATATTCGAGTTGTGTCATTGAACCACATGTGAGGGTGTTGTTATACCATCATCGGTGTATGTCGTTGTTACAACTTATTCGAAATACATTGTTATATCATCTTCAGAAGGCGTCGTTGCATCACTTCTGAGGTGTGTTGCTGCACCGTCTTTGTGATGCATTGTTACACCGTATCCTGAATGTGTTGGGACATCGTTATCAGGGCTTGACATTGCACCATATATATGATGCATTGTTACACCTTCATGGGGCATTAGTACACCGTATCTAGGGTGCGCTGTCAGAAAGTACAATGGGATTTTGCAGCGCACATTGTGACTTCACAGGGGACTTCACTGTAACGAGCAGGTGGCGATCGATGATAGCTGACGCTGACTAATAGGAGCTGGCCACCACCCATTGTTGCAAATAACCCAATCTTTCATGCTCCTATAAAACTTCAAAATTGATTTTCACTTCATCAGAGACAACATCTCCTCCAACCAAATTGCTATCAACCGCATCACCCATGTTCACACAAGAAGTTCTAAAGCTATCGAATTAAAATATTTATTTTTAAATTAAATAATGAAACTATGTGTGTAAATAATTTAAAGTTTATTTATTTAATTATTTATTAGAATTTCATCAGAGCTCAATTAAGTTGAACAATTCACTGGGGGTTCGACTCACTCGACTCCATGCCGAACCCGGTTCGCAATCCATAATAGCAAATAAACCGGACCCACCGAATGCCGTACTCGGCGACGTCAGATCACACGTCACCATCCACGATAATCATCATTGATCCAATCCAATCCACCGTCCACCGAACAGCATTCCTCCCCAAACTGCCAGCCGGGCTCCACGTCACCATCCACTTGCAGCCGACGTGGTCTCTATCAGCTCGCACGGACACGTGCATAATACCCGGGGGGGATGAATGCGGTGACCTCAACGCCAACCCAATTAACCTCGACCAAACAAACCGTAACAAGCCCGCGAGACCATTTGCGCCACCACTTCACACCCACAATACGTGTCAGCTCCCAAACTTGCCACGTTTCCCCCGCCGACATTTCGAGGTATTTATACCGCTCCGCCTCCGGAGACGAACAGCGAGACAGAGAGAGAGAGAGAGATGGGAGGAGGAGGAAGAAGGCTCAGAGACGCAGAGGCGGAGCTGAACTTGCCGCCGGGATTCCGCTTCCACCCCACCGACGAAGAGCTTCTGGTCCACTACCTCTGCCGGCGAGCTTCTCATCAGCCGCTCCCCGTTCCGATCATCGCCGAGCTCGATTTGTACAAATATAACCCTTGGGACTTGCCTGGTACTTTCGTCGGACACCTTATGTTCACTCCCTTAATTCGTTTTGCTTCTCTGTTCGCTGATGGGGATTCTGTTGGGGAGCAGATAAGGCGTTGTTCGGGACGAGGGAATGGTACTTCTTCACGCCGCGTGATCGGAAGTACCCCAACGGATCTCGGCCGAACCGCGCCGCCGGGCGAGGGTACTGGAAGGCCACGGGGGCAAAAAAAGCCGGTGACGCCGGCGGGGAATTCGCGGCCGATTGGGATCAAGAAAGCTCTGGTTTTCTACGACGGGAAGCCGCCGAAGGGGGCGAAGACAGATTGGATCATGCATGAGTATCGCCTGGTTGATGCCAATCGCAGTGCGAGGAGAAATGGGAGCTTGAGGGTAATAAACTGATAATTAATCAGATCACCCAAAAGTTTTAATTTTTATACGATTTTTCGAATTTAGGAACTGAAAGAATTCGAGAATTGAGCTAAAAATTGCAGTTTTATTGCAGTTGGATGATTGGGTTCTGTGCCGACTGTACAATAAGAAGAAAGGATGGGAAAAGAGGCCGAAGGAGGAGATGGATTTGATGGAGGAGAGTTTCAGGACGCCGGAGTCTGACATCGAGTTGCCAGATTTTGATAATTTCGGGCAGGAAAGAATGGATATGAATCCGAGTTCAGGTGCAGCGCAGATTCCGGCGGCGGCGCCGATGCCGGCGCCGGTAATCAAGGAGGAATACGATTGGTATTCGGATTTGAATCTTGAAGATTTGCAGAATTCTTTTGGGCCTTTTGCATCGACGGCTCCGGCGGCGTTCAATGTTTCGACCCAGGATTGCTATGTTTTGAGCTTAGTTTCTCCCAAGTCGGTGGCCGCGAATGTACCCTCCTTTTGAAGAGATTGATCAGAATTTGATGCCGGCCGCCGCAGGCCGGAAGAGGGGAGAGGAATTGACATCTACGTGCGGCATTCACACGTACAGACAGTGGTATTTGGATGATGTTGAGATGATATTGCACCTCAATATGTCACTCTAACATCAAACTTTTATGTAAATATTTCTCTCCCTGATCTATGAATATAAAATCAATTGCATACATACCACCCAAAACTTGACATTCACAAATCAACCAGCCTCTTTAAAACATTTTTTAAATTTAAACTCAAATATCAAAATTAATTATAAAATCCCAACCCATATTTTTCATTTCTGAAAATTATATACATAGCACCCAATTCTATGGATTCATTAATCTCACACCAAAGCTTTCACTTTACTAACATAACACTATCTATATATGAAAAGATGAATTTAATTATTAAAATATGATAATAAGTGTTATTTACTTATGATGTTTGTATTTATTGAAGCTTACGTGTGAGACAGATAATTATGTATATAAAAGCCCTTTTCATTTTTGTCAAATTCTCAATAATTTGATAGTGACATAAATTCATCAATTCGATAGTTTAATAAAATCACTTGAATGACTAATTTGTAAATATTAACATTTCGGTGGCCTCGATGTAATCATCCTTTTTTTTATACAAAAAGGGATTTAGTTACTCCTGGGTCTATTTAGTCAAAGTATGATAATCCCGATCAAGATCTGAGGTTTCATTATCTTAGATTGTTATGACTCCTGGTCTACTTATTCAGAGGAGGTAATCGACCTAACCTGACAGAAGAAACCTTGTCAATAATCATAAATTGTTGTCTTAAGAAATCTTATAGACTTGGAGTGAATATTTGTTTAAGGGGAACAAATCTGAGTCAAACTCAGCTTACAGAGGGCTTAGTGTCTTGTCATGCATACCCTTTGATTCATAATTCAAGTGGGCAAAATATCATTGAGGAATATATGAGCTACAATTATGATAGTAGTACAAGGGTGTTAAAAGAGAGAATAACAATCTCCTCTCATCTTTATGACCAAAAGGAGAACAATTATTGGGTCTTTAATTTTTATTTTTTTCATGGGACCTATTGAATAGATCTTTTATTTTGATATATATGTCAACATTAAGAAAATCTTAGATATTTAGTAAAAAATTTTGAAAAAAATAATTTATTTTACATATATCACACTCAAAATTAGGGGATTTACATACATCCCACTCATAACTATTAATATTACGTATCTCAGACTCAAACTTCATATGGTAGGGGTATTTACATCGCAATCAAAATTATTAAAATATTATGTATCTCATACCTAAACTTCAATATTGATATATTCGGTGCCTAAAACATTCAAATAAAAATAAACCACTCCACTATTCATATATCTTCTCACCCTTCTTCGAGCTCCGACGAGCCCAATCGATGGTTAACTTCATCAATGGTTTAGGGTAAGGGCAGTGCAAAAGGTGGAGAAAGATGAGAGTTTCGAAGGTCTTTAGCACTCTGTAAAATCTCGTTGTAGCTAAATGAGAAAGATAGAGGTTTTAGAGATATTTTTATATCGTGATCCCAACATTACTGAAGGAGGAGAATGATGAGAGTTTCAGAGGTCTTTGTCCACAGCAATCCATCCCACTACTACTCCGTCACTCACCTATCCAGCGAGATCGTCAAACACTATTAACATGATGCTATAGACAACATAAATATTGAAGTTTGGGTGTGAGATACACAACATTAAGAGATTTGAGTGTTATGTATGTATATCCCCAACATACTAACGATCAAACCAACATTCAACCAAAAAAAGTCAAGCCTATGATCAAAAGCCAACGATTTCATACTTTTACACCGATGTATATTTCAACAATCCAAACACAAAACTAAACATACCTTAAAAATCTCAACTTTCATGTGAGAGCAACAATGGCGAGCTATAATTCTTTGAAATGTGTGTTAATGAGGCATGTATAGAAGGCCAATAACAATTAAATATTACAAATGTAAAAAAGAAAAAAAAAAGAATGCTCCAAGCAGAATACAGCCAGAAAGAATTACAGTAAGGAAGGAACCTGGATGGGGAGAGTTTGTGACAGCCTCCGAACTCTTTGCGCCGGGGCCGAATGAACACCTATTCTCTCTCTCCAGCACCAACGGCCGTCCGACTGGCCGGAGCAACGAAGAAAAGAACAAAAATAGACTGAATTCTGGTCTGGATTCAAATGTTATAGCCTGTTAATGTGCAAGTTTGACGGGCTCGGCGAGCCGAGGCACTCATGGGGATTGGCATAGAAATAGTTTTCTTCTTTCGGCCGCCCTGGTAGGACCTTCCTTGAAGTTGGGAGGCCAATCCTGTTCTTGTGGATCTCAATGACGGCTGTTCTGAACTGATCCCATGAGAGCTTCTCTTCCTTGTACAGATCCAGAAGCTCCACCAGCAGTTTTCTATGGAGAAGGATGGTCTTCAGGAATCCATTGTACCTGTGCAAGTAAAAAAAAAATCATTTTTTAGGAGGCTTTTACATATATACCATATAAGTCTTATGTTTATAGTCATGTCACTCAAATCTTTTAACATCACAGCAAAAATAGTACCATGATTAACTTTCTAAAAGTGAAAGATACATTTTCATGCAGGATTTTGACACCAAAGGTGTTGTAAATGTAAATATCAAACTTCGAGTGCTAGATATATAAATTCATAAGAATTGTCTAGAATGCATGTACATTTTCTTTTTTTTAACTTATTAAATCGCATAGGTATCATTATACAACAATAACAACAATCTTTTATCCCAATAGGTGGGGTCGGCTACATGAATCTTTTTTTCTACATTGTGTCCTATTGAGTGCCATTATTTTATTAATTCTAATAGATTAAGATCATTTTTTTTATAGAACATGCCCAAGTTTTTTTAGGTCTACATGTGTCTTTCTTGACATAAGTGGTATTATAGTGAGCAAAATTTGATGTTTGGCACCAAAAAAATGCAAAACTGAGCAAAATCCTAGTGAATTTCAAACTCCCTCTTCAATTCAATTATGGAGAATTCCAAACTCATCAGAATTGATCGTGCTTCAAATACATGTCAAACTATGGTTATTGCAGTCACCCAACGGAACAACCACCCCCGCTATTGCCATCACTTATTGTTGTCGCCGCCCAGGTTTTACATTAATTTCATTTTACTTCAAACCAAACACTAAAAAATAATCACATTCATTTATCATGCATTAAACCAAAAAATTTTAAAATATTTCTAATACACTACATTTCAATTATGATTTAAATGATTATTGACATGATTTTTTCGACAAATTTTACATTGTTGTCGACTGTCTAACACAACCCTCCACTTTTCGAATTCGGAGGACTTGGGACACGGCAATGACAGTGTGAAGGATTGAAGTGTTCAATTCCGACCTCAATGGGATAAAGACTTATTGTTGTTGTTGTTGTACACTACATTTCAATTACACTGCAATCCTTTTATAGCCGACGAAATGGCCCCAAAATCAGAAAAATATGAGTAAAGAATGAAAGGTTGCAAATGAATACAAACTACGTAGACATGAATCTGCACTGATTTGGATTAAAAAAGTAAATTGAAATTAAAAAAAAAAGAGTTTTGGTGGAGGAGATGGAGGGGAGGACAAAACCTTCTATGGCCTTCCACAACTCTTGCCATGTTACCATCATAGCTAGGAATGAATATATCACTGGCAACAGAAACAAGGTAGTCAAGCGCAGCCATCTGTGTGGAGTGATTTTGGAAGGGGCTCAACTCATTGGAACTTAGAATCATCTCTTTCCTTACCTGAGAGAAGAAAAAAATAGGGGAGATTTACATAACACTCAATTCCTATGTATTTACATATCTAAAACCTAAACTTTAATTTTTACATATAATCTCATGACTTAGCCCGGATGAGAAAAGTGGAGGGTTGCGTTAGGTAGTCGACAGCCAGCGTAAAACTTGTCGAAAAAATCATGACATAGCCGACCCCACGTAGTGGGATTAAGGCTTTGTTGTTGTTGTTGTTGTTGTTGAATCTCATGACTATTTACATGGAGCTATTTTAATCCCTATCTACAAAAGTGCCAAATTTGTCTCATAATCTTTAAATATGTGCTGAAATAATTCCCATAGCGGATTAGTTTAGCCCCCATTACAAGTGAGTGAAGTGCCAAAATACTCTTCTAACCATTTACATGAGGTCATTTTTACTCCTAGAGTATGAAAAAGTGTCAAATTAGTCTCATACTCTTTTAATATTGGTTGAAACAGTCCCAATAAAAGATTCTTTTATCCCTCATTAAAAGAGTACAGAGACTGAATTAACACTTTTATGGACTAATATGACCACAAAGAATTTGAAGATTTGAGGACCATTTTGATATTTTCCTTTTTTACATGTATACAATCTTGCCTATGCATGAACGGTGTATTTCACCTTTTAAAATAGTAATATATTTGATATGATATAAAAGTTTTTGGTGGTCTAAAAGTAACCCACCCCTCCAAAAACATCAACCACCATGCACACATAAAAAAGAAAAACAGTACTTGTCGTCTTTGAGAAAATAATAGAAGATTTAAATACATTCCACTCCATTCCTATGTATTTTCTAACACCCAAACATCATTTTTTACAAACATGCCACCTTACCTATGTATGAAAAGGTGTATTTCCCTTCTTAAAAGTTGAAATCGTGGTATTTTTTTATGTCATATGAAACATTTGGGTGGTATAAATATAAAAAAAATAAAGTTTGCATGATAGATACGTAAATACATAAAAACATGTGATATGCATGTAAATGCCCCAAAATAAAAATGCAAAAAAAAAAACTTACAATTTTAGGAAACACAGCCTTCAAAGCAGCCAGCCTTCCCTCACCGCCATATATTTCTCCAGAGGCCACATAAATCTGAGTGTCCGTTGGAATTCCTAGTGCTTGTAACACTAAAGTCATCTCCTCTGGTGTAAGAGGACATAAACCTTCCAACCTTTTGTTCTCTGAGTCTATTTCTTTCTCCTTCCACCATGGATAAGCATATCTGAAAACCGAAGCAAATTCAAGTGAGTTTCCATTAAAATTTAAAAAGGCCATTTACATACATAGCACACAATTGTTAAGTATTTACATATCTCACACCTAAACTTTCATATTTACACCCCAAGCATTCAAATCTTTATTATCACATCAAAAATAACACTTACCATTTTTAAAAATGAAATACACCTTTTCATGCATCTGAGTAAATATGAAAGTATAAATGTGAGACATGAAAATACATAAACATTGTGTGCTATGCATGTAAAATTCCCAATAAAGATGGCAAGGAGTACAAACATTCTTGAAGGATAAGAACAAACCTCATCTCCGTGAGTTCGTTAATTTCCGCATCAGAACACCCGTGTGTGCACCCGGAAAATGCAAGCATATCCATCTCATATCGTAGATGCAACACAACAAAAAATCCATTCTTTCGAAGAACAGATATAATCTTTTTGCCCAACGCCTCAATCGGCGGAGTAAATCGCAATGCCTCATAATTAACACGACATCGTAACATTTGGAGTTCGATAGGAAGGCCATTATTTGCAAGTCGAGCATCCGTCTTATTGAAATGAAGCACCTTGTGCTTCCTTATAAGAGGTAATATCTGCTTCAAATATGATCAGCTTCATTGATTATGCACGAAAAAAAAAACTAAAAAAAAAAAGAGCGAATAATATCAAAAACATAAATGGGACCTGATTTAAATAGTATGTTTCTCTAGACCAGCTGACCGGAGGCATGGAGAACAGACCTCCATGAACTTTGGAATCAAATTTGTTTGGGAGTGATTTAACTATCTTGACCTCATCTTTTAAAGAATTGATGAAATGCCGAATGTTAAATATATCACCAAAATTGCTGCAACGAATACTCGATGATTATAGAACATTACACAGATTCATCATAGAACATCTTAAAGCGAGTTTGTGGTTTCGGACATACCTCGGATCTGCCCAGAAAGACCTTTTATCAAGTTCTGGAATTACTAATGTTAGATTCAAATATCGAGCTATTGTGACCATATCACAGATCTGAAAGATCAGAAATTTATAAAAGGAATTACATGAGAGCGGCAGTGAAAGCTGACCTTTCAAATCAGCAAAAAGAAAAAAGGGAAATTTACATACTTAGCACACAATTCTTATGTATTTACTCTAAATTTTCATATAAGAAATGTGTGCTTTAAATGCCCCAAAAAAAAAAGAAAAAAAAACTTGAAACTTTGCGCACCGCAGCTCGCATCTGGTTGAGACCACCATTGCAGGAAACCAGAAGATAGCCGTTGCTTTTGTAAATCCCTATAAAAAAAGTGTATATTAAGAAAATGTGCACAAGTCCTAAAGGAATCTTATAGAAAAGAAGTGAATTCATCCTATTTGGTTTTATGAAACCCTGCAAAGTTCCTAAAAATTATAGAGCATCATAAAACTACAAAAAAGAAAGTCTTTCCTACTGGCAAAATCTGCCATTCATCAAAGCATGCATAAACATGATAATTTTTATAGCATTAGCAATAATGAGAATATTTTGATAGATTATGCACAAAAACATTAGAGCTATAATCAATCGATCAACTCAATAAAGCATATTACAAATTCGCATGAATTCCAAAATTGGACAAACATACGAAAGCATTCAACCAATGTCAAATATTGGTAATTATTAGACCTGATTTACTTCCGCTATGTGCTATTTTATCATTGCTTTTAATACAATCTATATTATATCAATCTCTTAAGGCACAGAATAATCATTGGCCCCAACCAAATATGAGAAAGTTAATTTAATGTCAAGAACTTCATGCTTAGACCTAACCTCTATCTTTCCATATGCAAGCCAAAAAAGCTAAATGAGTTGTTCCACATCCGGTCTTTCTAAAACTTATCCCTTTAACCAAGTTGGGACTATATATTGGTTGATTGAAGAACCATCTTCAATTCCTAATTTTTTTGTATGAAAGGCGTTACCAGACTTAGTTTCATATGAAGTTCAAAGTAAATTTGATAAAATGAAACTGTGATAAAAAGTTTACTCTAAGTACATGCTGAAAAAAAAAGGCAAGATTTAAATTAACATAAGGCTTAATTGTATTGATTATGACACTTATTCTTTTTATGCTTTGAATCTTAAGGGGAATAAGAGTTCCTCTTTTAAGGATTAGTTACATTTTTGTATATTTATGGTTTAATGTACCAAACAAAAAAGAAAAAGAAAAACAACACGACGACAAAAGGACTAATGAGGAAAACGAGCAACAAATTTGTTTAACAACATAATTTTTGTTCAAACATTTCTCTACAAGTGTCATGGAAATAATATTCGTGGGCTACTCATCAAAACTCTTACAATATCACACTCCGCGGAAACAAAGACCATGATCCATTGAACAAAGCTAAAATTAGCATTCAAATGTTTTCTTATTGACTATATATGGCAATATTTTCATGTTTGGCCATATGTTTCTCTTTCTTAATAAAAAAGAATAGGCTGTGCAACAAAAATTTTGGTCTAAAAAGATCTTAGCATCACTCCTAAAATTAGACAGAGCCGAACAATATTCTCTAATAGTTAACAAGTATGCATACTCCCGTTCAAGCCATCAAAATGAGCACCCCTCTCAACAAACATTTTGAGCACCTGAAGTTTTTGGGGCATTTACTTTCATGGCACACAATTCTAATGCATTTACATATTTCACACCTAAATATTTATATTTACACATATACCACTTTAATCTTTAAAAACACATTGAAAAAAACACTAATACCACTTTTTAAAAGTGAAATACACATCTTCGTGCATGGGTTTAAAACACAAAAGAGCTATATATATAAATATGGAAGTTTAGAAAAGCAATATGCAAATACATAGGAATTGTGCGCTATTATGTAAATTTCCCAAAGTTTTATTGTTCTTTGACCACAAACTTTCCATATTCATTATAACATCACAGCATTTTCTTGTTATGTTCTAACTTTCTCTTTCTAAATTCATTAATGCAGCATGTTAATCTTAAATTTAGGTCCAAAACTATCTTTAGAATGGCCAAACCAAACAGCCATGATAATGATGGTGACAAAACATATATTTTTTTATCAGACCTCTTAAATTTTTCTTTACCATATCAAACCTACCTTCCCAAATTAGAAATTCAGTTGAGAAAGGAAGATATTTATAAATCAAGAAACTTCAGTCCTAATCTCTCTCTTATCAAGAATGCCTCCCAAAATAACAATTTTAGGCTATCTCTGTTACATACTCTCTATAAAAATTTCATTTTTATTTTGTTTTGTTGTTGCTGAATCCATCTTGTTTCACAAACTAATTTGCTCTGCAGCACTTTACTAATACCAAATCCCTAAAAGCTATAAGAAATCCTCAACTAAATCCGGCAAGATTTACCCATCCAAACCCTAGATTCAAAAAGAACTGAACAAATTTCCCTCTGAATCCAAACCCTAGAAACGAAGAAATCAACTTACTTCTTGGTACCAACGCCGGCGGAGATGCCCTGTAACCCCCAAGCGAGCTCTCGCTTTCAAGAATGGAGTAATTGGTGGAATTAGGATCACTTCCTCTTCTCCCAAAGCAGGAAACCGGCCATGAACGAGAGAGCCGCGGCTGCCAAACCTGCGGCATGGAGGTCAGCTGCATCATCATCGTCCACACCATTACGCTCGTTCCCACCCTCAGCACCCAAGTTCTCAACCCATGCCTTCTTCCTCCTCCGGCGACCGCACCGCCGCCGCCGGCGGCCTTTTTCCGCTCCACCATGAAGATGGCTCTCCGAATCTGAACCAGCATTGCGGTTTCGATCAGAAATCCCTCCCAAAAGCAACAAAAAACCAAAAATCATAAAAAAAATACCTTTTTTTCTCCTTCCCTGAAGAGATTCATTGCAGATGAGAGTGGGACAGTTCGCCTGACGATTGCAGAGTGGGAGTTGGCGATGAGCTCTCACTTGCTCGCACCTTCCCCTCTCCGCTCTCTCTCTCTCCGCCTTGAATCTTTCTTCTTTAATTGTGTTAATTAACAATAAATATAGAAAAAAAAAACCATAAAAAAAAAACCATTTTTTTTTTTTTGGAATCCATGAATCCGAGGAGGAAACATACCATATGGTTACCTCCCAACAAATTTCAAAGATTTTTTTTTTTATTTAACAAATTTTGAATGCCATTGAATATTGGGATTCATTTGAATTTAATTTTTTTAAAATATTATTTTTTTATAAAATAAAAATATGAATATTTCTCCATTAGTCAAATTTTATTTAATTTTTATTTTGCCGTTAAAAGTTATGTTCTTTATTGTAATATTTAATTGTTTCTTTGAAAATATTTTTTCTCAGCCTCATTTCCAATTAGCTGATATTTGAAGAACTATATAATTCACATTAAATGTAGATCATCTGATAATGCTATCACGAGAGTTAATCTTTTAGATTCGACTTATGTTACGAAATACAGACATAGACCTAAAAAGACTTAGGCATATTGTATAAAAAGTTATCTTAATCTGTTAGAATTAAATGAAATTATGACACTCAGTCTGACTCAATGTAGAAAAAGGATTTATGTAGCTGTCACTACCTAGCGGGATAAAGGCTTGTAGTTGTTATTGTTGTTGTAAAGCTAGTCACCAATCCAATTTCATACTTCGCCAGATCCATTAAAATTACACTTCGAAGTGACCTGACAAATCGACCTACTAAACTGACCTAACGGATTGAAGCATTAGCTACCACCTTCCCGGGAAGTGATCCGTAGGATTGACACGTAGGTGGAGTGAGAATCAACATTAAAGGGATTGATACATGTTCAATCATCATTTATGAGCTGTCTCACATCTAAGTTACGATATTTTTAGCAATACACAATGGATAGATTTTGTACCGCACGACCTATAATTTATGCTCATTTGCGTATCAAATGAGGGAAGACCTAAAAGGGAGATGACAATCATGTAAGTGCTAGATATGCAAATACAATACATGGTATGTATCCAAATGCTGTTTCGACTTGGCTAAGCAGTAAAGATGGTGGCACAGAGTTGATACATTCAATAATTGCAATGCGGGAATTACTGAAGAGATGATGGATTCGGATTTATTTGGTTCAAATTATTTATGGTAATTACAAAATTAAACCAAAAAGGAATGAAAGTGAAATATACATTTTGCAAATGTTTTTGCAAATGTTTCTCTTTAGTACTCGTTGGAATTTTTGCACGGGATTATTTTAGTCGTAAAGTTTATAAAGATATCAATTTAATTCTTGGTCTTTTTAGGACGTAGGATCTTGTAATAATCATGCGTACATGCAACTCAGTAAAAGACCAAGCGTCACGGGAAAAGTACTTGAGAAAAGGAGAAAGAGAGGAGAAGTGAATGATCCTGCAATTGAAGATCAGGATGAGAATTCGAATGAGGAAAGATATCTGAATAGAAAAAGAAAACTATAAAGTAATTTCAATAATGCATCTCACAATGTATCATTGACATTTTCCTGATATCTTGATAGAAAATTGATGTCGTGGTCATGACATATTGTCGGCCAGTGTCAGAATTTACTGGTACGATGAATATCTCTGATACCTATATGATAAGACTAAACTTTAAATAAGAGAATGATAGGTGTCCGGGGTGGCCATATTGGCCTTGTTAGATTGTTGTCTTAGTTGGGATAGATTTAAGATTGCCTTATCGAGGAAGACTAGATGCGAGCTGAATATGTTACTTCGGTAGGTGTGTTTGATTCAACCACTTTGGTAGGTGGTTTCATTTCGACCACTTCGATAGGTGGGCTTGATTCAACCTTCTTGAAGACGACTATTTAGCCCCATGGAGAACTATTTCAACCATATGGAGGAACTTTCAGCCCCAATTTCAATTGTTCAAGAAATAATTATAAAGTTAAAATGAATTGATCAAATTATAAATCAATCATAAGTTCATTCAAATCAAATGATATGATATTAAATTTAATGACAGGTCACATGCATAACCAAATTTCATTAAATACAAAACAATTATTAGACTAGTCAAATTACTATTGAATTTTAGTTAGATCATACCAAGTCAAATAATTGAAATAACAATCTCAGCTCAAAATCTTAATCGTAATTTAGGACTAAGTATAAGAATAAATTTTGTCAAGTAAATATAAATATTGTAATTTTAAATACTTCTTCAAAAAAATGTTAAGCGATGTTCAATTTTGATATGAATGAGCTTAGTCGAAGAATCTTAATAACACAAATGCAACATTTCAATGTCTCGTATGACGATAGTCCATTAATAGCAACAACACCAACAATAACAACTCTTTATGATGCAGGGTAAACTAAGGGGGCGCGGAGCACCAAACAACGGACGTGGGAGTCACATGCCACTCTTAGACCGCACTAATTTAACATTCAGCTGGGCCGGGCAACCCTCCAAGCCAGCGAACCGTCATACAATCAAAGCGTGATCATTTCTTGGTTATCTATAGCTTATATAATTGAGTTTTGTGTTTTATCTTTTGGTTTTGACTGTGTTATTGTTCGTGCATATGTTGGCATCCCTTGTTTTCGCCTCTAGGGTTGTATCAACGGGTGAGTGATGCTCTGACTCGTTATCTTTCAAGAGTTGAGTGGTGCTCCATATGTATCTCGTTCCCGATGTAGTATTTACTTTTTCCCAACTTCTCTGTAACCTCTCATTTGTCGCAGCTTTTTCTACTATTAATCTATTTATATCTCTATAACAATAAACTATAGGACATTTATATACATATCAGTCAATCATTATGTATTTACATATCTAAGACTTATATTTTACTTTTTACATTTATACCGCTCGAAATTTTCATATCACATAAACATACCACTGTTTTGACTTTAGAATTCTAAATTACATATTTTCCATAAATTGTTAGATTGGCATATATGTAAAAATTAAAGAGTTATATGCTTTCAAATATCTAACACCTAAACTTTGCTTTTTATGGTTGTACCACCTTATTTTCTTATATCACTTTAAAAATACCATCAATTTAAATTTTTTAAAAGTAAAATATATGTTTTTATGCAAAGTATAAGTTGTATAAATGTAATAATTGAAGTTTAGATGTTATATAAGTAAATATCGCATGTTGGTAAACCTTCTTACTATTTTAAGCTTCGACAACCATATCTGTGCATATCCAGAGAACTACGGTGGTTGTCGGCGGCAAGGCATGGCCTGGGTCGCCAAGAAGGGGAAGATTGAGGTACAACACCGCATTGTTTGAAACCCTAGAAAATATCCCTTTCTTTTTTTTTTTTTTGGATTTATGTAATGGAGTGATTATGCTGGGACTCGATCAGTTAGATCTGAAAGAGGATTTAGAAAGTAATGCTAATTCATTGGACAGATTCAACTGTTTTTTGGCGCTTATGGGCTAGCCCTAATTAGTCTTGATTCGATTCACTGATTGAGTTTTGGATCATGAACCAGAAGTTTGCGGATCATTGCAGATTTTACTTTAGGAAGGAGGTGGGGAGAGGTCAAAATCTTGATTTGTTGAAACCTGCAAATTTTGGCGAGCAATTGGGTACATGAAAGACTAACTATCTATAATGTTGAGTCTTGATTTGTTCATGAATCACACCCAAGAGATAGAGTGCGAGTAAAAGAGAGAGAGAGAGAGAGAGAGATAAGGAGATAAGAGTGAATAATAATGAACTACAATATGTTGTTTTTTACTCATAAAATGATTCCACTCTTTATAGAGAAGAGTGTACAATATGATGATGTTACTGTTAAGAATTGCAATTGAAATAGAGAAGAATAAGAGAAAGAGAAGAAACAATATAAAGTGGCTAAGGTTTCCATTATCTCAAGCACCTCATTACAAGAGTATATATATACAGTAAACAAAAAGTCTAAACTACCCTTAAGTAGGGTAAAATAATAAAAATACAAATACTATAATATCTAACATCCCCCCTCATACTCACGATGCATCAAGAGGATCATCGAGAGTTTGCTAGTCAAAAAGCAAAAGTGTTGAGTGAAATGTGATTTTGTAATACGTCAGCAAGTTGAATGAAAGAAGAAATATAGGATAAGATGATGGTGTCATGTTGAAAGTGATGACGAGTGAAATGACAATTAATCTCAATATATTTGGTGAGCTCATGAAAGACTGAGTTGCGGGTAATTTGTATAACGTTCTTGTTATCACAGTACATAGGAGTTGGGCTAGAGAAAGAGACACCCATATCAGAAAGTAACAAGCACAACCAAACAATTTCTGCAGTGGTGGATACATGAAACGATACTCAGCTTCGATAGAAGAGCGAGAGACAACTGTTTTCTTCTTACTCTTCCAATAAATGAGAGAATCTCCTAGAAAAATACAACGACTGGTGGAATCACCACCACAATCAGCATCTGAGTAGGCACGTAATTCCAAAGAAGAAGTTGCGGGAAAGAGAATATTCTGAAATTGAGTGCCTCGAAGATAACTAAGAATGCGAAGAACATATGCTTAATGAACTGTAGTAGGAGAGGCAACAAACTGACTAACAACATGTACTGCATAAGCAATATCAGGTCTAGTGATGATAAGATATACCAAGCTACCAACAAGTATACGATACAAAGTGAGATCAGACAAAGGAACACCATCTGAAGAGGTATAGTGAACATTAAGCTCAAAAGGAGTAGCAGTTGTCCGAGTATCAGAAGGATGGTGCCAATATACTTAGATTGGGAAAGAAAATAACATCTAGGAGAACGAGCCACTTCAATCCCCAAAAAATATCGAAGAGTACCGAGATCTTTCATCTTAAACCGTTGAGCTAATTGTAATTTCAACTCTATAATCTCATTATCATCATTCGCAATAATAATCATGTCATCAACATATAAAGAGAGTATAATACAATCATGGGAGGTCCTCTTGAGGAACAAGACAATGTCATGTGAGCTAAAATGAAAACCAAGAGATGCTTGAGAACTTTTCAAACCAAGCTCGAGGA